ACAGGCTCGTGCTAGAATCGAAGTTTCTGTTCTCAATCTTCTCCGAGTTTTGAATTCCCCAGATCCAGCTATCTCCGATCTCTCTCTGGTACTTCTTAATCTCGTGCTTAAGTCCGTTTCTTAGTCCGTTTTCTGGGTTTTTGAAGAAAATTGAAATTTATCGTTTGAACAGATCAATAGGAAGAGAAGCAATAGTTGTATAAACCAAGGGATACTCACAGATGTTTCATATATATTCCTCTCTACTTCATTTACTAAGAGTTCATTGACGAATGCTAAAACAGCTAAAGCTTTTGTTCGTGGTAATTCCTCAATATCTCTCTCTGTGTTCTTCATACAAATATTTGATTGAAATGGTATAAGGTAATGGTTGTGATTTTATTGACACAGTGTGGAAAGTTATGGAAATATGCTTTCAGATTCTGCTTCAAGAGAAACGAGTGACACAAAGAGAGTTGTTCTATAAGTTGCTTTGTGATTCACCAGACTATTTTTCATCTCAGATTGAAGTTAACAGAACCGTACAAGGTCAATCCAAAATCGCACATTATTCTTAATTTCATTTGGATTAAAGAGATTTTGGTCTGATATGTTTCTTTGGTTTGACAGATGTGGTAGCACTTCTACGTTGCAGTAGATACAGTCTTGGGATTATGGCTTCTAGCAGAGGCCTTGTTGCTGGAAGGCTATTTCTACAAGTGAGCATCTAATCAAGCTTGTTGCTCTGTGCCGGTTTTTCGATGTGATTCTAGCTCTCATTGTGATCTCTGACTATTTCTTTATTCACACTCAGGAACCAGGTAAGGAAGCTGTAGATTGTTCGGCTTGTGGTTCTTCAGGTTTCGCTATAACCGGGGACTTGAATTTGCTAGAAAACACCATCATGAGAAGTGATGCTCGGTATATCATTGTTGTGGAAAAGGTATCTTCTTGATCCAGTCAAGCACGTATAAGATACCATAATTGTCCATAACTCACTCCTAGATCTAATTTTAGCATGCGATATTTCACCGCCTTGTGGAAGATCGCGTGTTCAATAACATTCCTTGCGTGTTCATCACCGCGAAAGGGTATCCAGATATTGCCACAAGGTCAATTCCTTAACTCAGTTACAAAACCATGTTTGCAAGGTATTCGGTGATATTGAGTAGTTTGGAAGTTGAAATTTTTAGGTTTTTCCTTCATCGGATGAGCACAACATTTCCTGATCTGCCAATTCTTGCTCTAGTAGATTGGTAAGCATAAATAAACATCATCATCCTTGTTTTACATAAAAATTTAGTGCTCATAAGTTCATAAATGGGAGGTCAGGAATCCAGCTGGGTTAGCTATACTATGCACCTTCAAGTTTGGAAGCATAGGGATGGGTCTTGAAGCATATAGATATGGTAAAGACTTTAACTGTTTCCACCAAATATTCTCCAAGTCTCTGTAATGATAGTTTGTGCATCCTCTTTAGCTTGCAATGTGAAGTGGATTGGTCTCCGAGGAGATGATCTGGATCTGATACCTGAAGAGTCTTTAGTTCCCTTAAAGCCAAAAGACTCACAGATTGCTAAGAGCTTATTGTCCTCCAAAATCTTGCAGGTAAACTAACTGAACATTATAAGCGGAGATCAGCAGTAGTAATGTTCAAGTGGAAGCAACTCTAACAGTCGAAACTATAATCCATCATTTATACCCTAACTGATTTCGAAATCTACTTTCTGACCAGGATACCTACAGAGATGAGTTGTCACTGATGGTTCAAACTGGTAAAAGAGCAGAAATTGAAGCTCTGTATTGTCACGGTTATAATTATCTGGGTAAATATATAGCCACCAAGATCGTGCAGGGTAAATACATATAAATAAATCAAACACCAGCATGTAAGATTTTCTACCAACCCAATAAAGATGTGTTTGCTTTATATTGGTTCTAAATAAAAGAGGTTACTTATTCAGGTGAAGTTTTATGCAAACTCTCATGGAATGTATAAATAGATTACAAACAGATCAAAATTTTCCAAATTGAAGGATGATCTTTGTTTACATACGGCATGGTGATGAATTAGTAACAAAACTTGTCCTAATCTCCACTTTCCTATGCAGGTATAATGATAATTCCAATCACAAATTGTGCTCACTTCTTGCTTGATACAAGACTAATCTTCTTTCCCTCCACAACAAACTTGCCACTTCGCTCCAGCTGCAACAAAGACGTTAGAACAACATCAGTAAGAATGACAAACTTTGGAACTTTCTGTAGTAAATATGAGAAACTCACTATAAAAATGATTTAGGTTACACTTCTTTAATCTCAAAGTTAATGAATCTTATCACTATGTAGGTAAGTATAAGATTCTGTAGGAGGATTTGACATAATATTAGCTAAGATTGCATTTACCTTAAGTTTCAAGAAAGCAATAGCATCTTTTCTTGAAGAGAACTCTGAAAGAACTGATGGTGCTTGTTCATCGATCAGAGATTTTAGCTGTTTCAGCTTCATGGATCCACCATTACCAGCATCCTGAGAATGTTTTTGCACATATACATATAAGTCGGTATGGGTGGGACGTTGTAGAAGAATACAATGACTGTTCGAAATAAATTGACAACGAACCTTTTTAAGAATCTGCTTGCACAGGTTCTTTAACTTGATTTTGGGTTCAATGATCTCATCGCGCTTCCTTTTTGCGGGAAGCGAACTTTCGATTACAGAGTCCTTGTCATCATCTTCTTCACTCTCTTCTTCCTCTTCCACTTCCTCTTCTTCGTCATCATCATCATCATCATCACTGTTATCAAAAGAGGTTTTCTTCCCTTCGTAACGAACACCGGCTATTTTCTTTGGTCGGTCTTTGATACCCAGTCCTTGTTTCCCTGCTGTGGCTTTATCCTACAGACAATTCACGACATCAAGATATTAGATCCCAACCTCTTTTCCAAGAAAAGCTTGCAAAGAAGAGTGGGAGGAGACAAACACATATACCTGAACCATGTTGTAAAGATTCTCTTGATCGTTCTCACTAAACATCTTTCTCTCACTAGCCTTTAATTTCTTTTTGCCCGACTTGGCCCCAAGAAGACCACCCGAGACAAACCCGGATTTAAATCCCCACCAGTCCAAAGAAGGTTCTTCAATTTGCTGTTCTGTTCAGTCCAAAAGATCCATACCATTTCAGTTCAAAGAAAAGAAAAAAGAAGAAAAGAAAGTCACACCATTTCAAGATACGAGGACAATCTAATCACCTTTAACACTAGCATGTTGGTCCTCAGATATTATTTCAATCTCCATAGTATCAGCTATGTCACAAACAGCAGGTGAAGGCTCCTCAGTTCGCTTAACCTACAAAACAGTAAAGTAATTTAGCCTAAGTTAAACTACCACTTTCATAATGTGATCTGGTTACATAATGGTGATAACAGAGGAAATCCTGAAATTATGCACAAGTTAACAGTATGTAGAATTTATGTATAATTCTGATCGACATCAATCTTGGTCATGAGCAAATAAAATTAGGAAAGAACTGATTAGAAAGCGAGCTTACCAGTATTCCTTCAAGATCTTTAGATGAGTATGAATTGACAAGCTTCCCTTTCTCTCTACGTTTATACCTTCCTTGTGGACGAGTGACTTTAGCAACGGTCTTGGACTTGGCAGGCTCAGATTTGGCAGCATCGTCTTCACTTTCATCTTCCTTATCCGAACCTATCGCATGCCACAGAAACATGAATCATTAGGATAAATAAACAAACTACTTCCATAATCAAGAAAGAACTATAGTTGCTTAAAAGTAGTTTTACCATCATCAGTCTTGCTAGTCTTGGTAGGTGCTGCTTGCTACAAATATCAAACAAATCAATAAATAAAGATTAAAACCCATTTCCAATTTTTCCAAAGAGCTTAGTTAAAAACAAAGATGAACACAGCCATTACCACTTTCAATTTCTTGAGAATGTTATCAAACTGAGTTGTATCGAATGCCCATGGATTCGGCTTATCAAGACCAACACCTGCTCCAACATTTCAAATTTTCAGTCCTAGAACATAAACTATAGTTGCATATACACAAGACATTCCCCAAAAACAGAAAATAATTATTTTCTTTGGGTATAAGGGTAAAGTAGCTCTATCTTAATTCCACAACTTCACATTACATAAATTAAACTATATAAACACAGACATTTCCTCCTACATACTGAAAAGAATGTCTTTTTGGGTGTGTAAGAGCAAAGGAGCTCTATTGATGTTTCCTCTAATCTAAATTCCACAACTTCACAGTCACAAATTACATACACCTATACATAAACTAAGCTATATATACACAAACATTTCATCCCAAGAAAGCAGAAATTAACGTTTTTTTGGGTATAAGTGCAAAGTAGCTATATGTAAGTTTCCTCTAATCTAAATTCCACAACTTCACATTCACTAAATTCTCTAATCTCCAATAAGAAGAAGAAGAAGAAACTAACCAGTTGTATCTTGTTTGTTCTTAACTCTCACATAACCTTTGATCCCTTGCTTATCTTTACCAAGTCCTTCTCCTTCTTCCCAACCCTAAAATTTCACCAATCCAAAAAATTAGGTCTTTAGACAATCTCTACACAAATTAAGATCATTACAGGAAAATTTACTCACCATCGATTTCATAAGCCGGAAAGCGGCGGATTCCTTACAGATTCCGACGTACTTAACCGGAGCCTCCGGCGCCGCCATCTTCTCTTGTTATATTCCGGCGATCGATTGGAGACAATGCGTCGCCGTTTTCAAAAGCGGTGCGGAAGAGAAGAGTGGGCGAGGAAGTTTGGAGAAAGCTGGAAGAGAAAACCTAAAGCAGAGAAGTGTTGAGTAATAATTCTCTACGAAGCGGTCTATAATAAACTTCAGTGGATATGAAACGTGATCGACGGCCAAGATTTTATCATATTTTAAATGGGCTTAGGAAGGAAAGGCCCAATAAAGAAATGAATATTCCACCACATATTTATAAATTTAAAAGAAAAAAACAAAAAATATATTAGCGGATTGACTAAACCAGAAAATCGAAGAAATGGCAATGGCTACTTCTTCTTCTACTCAGCTTCTACTGTCTTCTTCTTCTTTGTTTCACTCTCAAATTACCAAAACGCCGTTCCTTCTCCCGGCGACGAAGATCTACCTTCGGAGACCGAAGAAGTCTCTCTCGTTATCATGTCGTCCTTCAGTCACGGTTTTAGCTGCTTCTTCCGCCGTCGGCGTCAATGAATCTGTGACTTCAGAGAAACCAACCAAAACGCTTCCGTTTCGAATCGGTCATGGTTTTGATCTGCATCGGTTAGAGCCAGGGTATCCTCTGATCATCGGCGGGATTGATATTCCTCATGATAGAGGCTGCGAAGCTCACTCCGATGGTAAACATTTCTCCAAATTCGATTTGTGAAAATTCGTCTTATTGATTCTGTTGAACTTAGGATTGATTATTTAGGTTTTTATTTGAGTTTAATGTTGGAATTTGTGCAGGCGATGTGTTGCTTCATTGTGTAGTGGATGCAATTTTGGGAGCATTGGGGCTTCCAGATATAGGTCAGATTTTCCCTGATTCTGATCCTAAATGGAAAGGAGCTGCTTCATCTGTCTTCATCAAAGAAGCTGTAAGCTTTCTCGTAGCTTACCTTGACATGTTCAATTTTGTGTGAGATTGTGTATGCTGAGATTTTTCATATTAGCTATTTCTTTAAGCCTGATTTTGTGTGTGGTAATTTATAGAATGATTCAGAGTTCAAGCTAGATCTATAGGTTGATGGGATTTACTCAGTTTAATATCAAGGTTCTGTAATTACTATTGAGTAGATTATTTTCATCTATAGGAAGTAGAAGAGATATGGAGATCAAATCTTATCCTTCCAATTGTTGTGATCACTCTACGATGCTGTGTACAATCTTATCCGTTTTATATACATGAGTTTTCTCTTGCAAAGCCTTGGCATAACTCAATTTTATCAGTTAAATTCTAGGTTCTTGCATTTTGGGTTAATGAAGTTATTGAACAAGTCTTGTATTGTTACATTTCAACACATATGATTGATGATAAGTAGAGGTACTCAATATTGAAGCTATAAAGTTTCTTTCTTGTCCGGTATTTTAAGTAATGGGTCAGAATTTAGCGTATTGTGTTTGTTAAGTTCAAAACCATGATTGACTGTGAATTGTTGATTGCATGGACGGTTATGTGAATCAAGCTATACACTTTAAATGATAATCACTTGTAATGAGGTTATATAGTTATAACGGTACAAATGCCAGGTTCTTGTCAGGATGAATGATGATTATGTTCAATGAACTTGAAACAAGGTTTTGTTTGTCTATATGTTTCAGGTTAGACTCATGGACGAGGCAGGGTACGAGATAGGAAACCTAGACGCGACATTGATTCTCCAGAGACCAAAGATTAGTCCACACAAAGAGACTATCCGATCCAATCTGTCCAAGCTTCTTGGAGCAGATCCTTCTGTTGTGAACTTGAAAGCCAAAACACATGAGAAAGTTGATAGCCTTGGAGAAAACAGAAGCATTGCAGCTCACACTGTTATTCTCCTCATGAAGAAATAGAAGTCAAGATTAATATTAGCTCTTTATCATCTTCCTTAAAGTTTCTTATCTTATAAGAGGTACTTCTGATTGTAAATTTACACCAAGTGTAATCACCCTTTAGAGGCTTATTAATCTTTTCACAGAAGCAGGGAAAATCGAATCATATTTTGATGATGATGATAATGATTCATTGTGATTCCTAGTTTCTTGGTCAGATTTGAATATAACTGGAAACTGTGTCTTGTCTTCGACTGCAAGTTCCTTGTCACACAATTTTCTTCGTCTGTCATTTTCATCTTCGGAAAATTATCACATGAAAACTGTGATATAGTTGTTGCTTTTCTTGTCTATATGAATTCTTAAATTAAAATCGGACATCGTGAAATACAAACCTTTTGTAGTTGAAGTAGACCTAGAAGATAATTACGAATCCTTGAGTTTAACACAATAATATCATAGTGAAATAAATACATCAATGATCAGCCCTATACTCAACTTCTAACTAATCAGAGAATTACCATACTGAAAATATTAAGAGACTATACAGCCGTGATCATGATCGCACACAATAGTAGTGTGATGATGCATAGGACATACCGGAATTTCACGGTAAGCCTGAGACCGGTAAAGAGCTTCACGTTCACTTTCTTCTTTCTTCTTCTTTTCCGCAGCTGCAGCGGTTTCAGCTTCCTTCTTCGGATCGAACAGGCCAAATGTCGCCATTTTCGCACTCCCCCATCTCTTTTTGAGTTTTTTGAGAATCTGCATTTCGTCAAACTCACCAATCACGGTTAACTTCCCTTCTTTTGAATCCATTGTAATAGTTGTAATTCCTGGAAGAAAAAGTGTAAGGATTTAGGCCTTGAGACTTAAAAAGATCTTTTCGAGGTGATTCGTTCTTTTGAGATTTCAATTCATAATCCATAAAGAAAACCAAAAACAAGACGTATTATTATTCAAAGCTTTGCAGCAAAAGCTCATTAACAAGACAAAACTTAAATTTAAACTCACACTCAAACTCAAATACCTAAAGAATCCGAATAATGTGTAACTAAAAGCTTTGGTTTTTCAATACATAATCATGTTTTAAGGGATCATAATATAACCCATGAGAATCTCATAAACAGAGTATGTGTGTGTAATCAAAAGCTTTGTCTTTTTAATAAAAAAGGAATTTTTGCGGGTGTCAAATCAAAACTCACCAAGAATCTCAAGAACAGGGTATGTGAGTAATGAAAAGCTTTGCTTTTTCATTAAAAACTCATGATAATACATAAATCGATTTCAAGTTTTGAGGTTTTAATTCAAACCCTTAAATAATCCAAAAAGCAGAGTGAATGTTAAAATCGAAAGCTTTTGGCTTTTCACTAAAAATTCATGAACAGAACAAGAATCATTTTTTTAGGGTTTCAATTCAAAACGACAAAACCCAGAACGAATCTCAAAACCAGAGAGTTTGTGTAATGAAAAGCTTTGTCTTTTCAATAAAAACTCATTAAACAAGAAAAAAAAACAGAGTATATGTATCATAAAAAAAAAACTGTCTTTTCAGTAAAAACTCATGAACAAGTAAAAAAATCTAAGAAAAATTGCATGTTGATGTAAAAATTACCTGAACAGCTAGCTACTGTGCGTATCACTCTTTCTTTTGCTATCTCATCATAGACATTCATCATCACCACCATCTTCTGCAAGAAAGTGTGATTAGAAGAAGAACCACCATTAATCAAAACACTCCAAGTCTATAAAAAAAGTCAAAAGAACTCATTTTTTTAGTACTTTGAGAACCAAATAACACATTACCTTCATTTTCTTTGTAGAACAGAGAAGAAGATGTGGAACAGTAAAAAGTTGGTGTATTTTTTATTCCAAAGTGTAAGCAAGTCGATGATGCTTTATGTCCCAAATAACAAACCGCCACATTAAATGGGTTTAAGAAAAAAAAAAACATAATAAAGGAATATCAGAGTGGTTGGTGATTTAAACAATATTCATAAAAATGTTTTCTTCAGTAAAGAACAAGAGCGTGGATTTCACTTGTGAGAAATGGCTGTGGGAAATTTTCAACTGTACTTGTTATTTTCTTCTGTGGTTCTTTGGAAATTTCTTCTCTTTAATGGTCCCATGATGTGTGTCCGTCGATTATTGATCGTTTCTATATTTAGTAATTACCATTTCAAAAGGTTTTATATTGTCAAAGATTCTTCCAAGGTCCTTTTTTATGGTAAGTTCATCAATTGGTTTGTTTTGCTGATCAATTGTTTTTTAGTACCAACTACCAACATCCATATTTGTTTGCATTTTGTACTTCTTCTCCAATAAACAACGAGAAATAGAACATGAAATCCCTGAAAAGCATTTTTCAATATTTGTTATGTGGCTAGCCAAACCCATCATAAATTTCTTAGCTCCAAATTTATTGTCTTAATTTTTCTTTTTGGCTTATGTTTATAACTGATACTATTTTGCTTTGTAATTCATTTTAACCACAATATTTCCTTTTTTTTTCCTCATGTGCATGCAACGCCACGATGATATTGTTTGGCGATGAAATTATCATGAATCTTCCACCAAAAAAAAAAAAACGGTGTGAGACGTCATCTTTTAATTTGGTGGATTGTTTTACTACCAATTTATTTTGTTATTGGGTAGCAAAGTTTCTAGTTTCTTGAAAACCAAAAGTTTGGTTTATGAACATGAATCTATTGCCAATTTATGCTTCAAGAAACTATGTGGAACTCTAAATTGACAAAAATATGTGTTTTCTAGGATATCAAACCACTTATGAAATCATTTTTAAAGGATAATTTGTAGTTTCTGAAGTTCGTTTTTCTAGTATTATTAATCCCTTGAATTCGTTATCCGTCACATTGTTTTCATAATTTTTGGTCTTTGAGTTTAACTTATTAGGAAAACTTCACATGGTAGTTAAAATTTGTCATGTTACACATCATTATTCATTAGTATTGTTTTAAGAAAAGAAGGGGAATATCTCTACTCTCATCTATAACGAGTTGATCCCACGCTCAGATTCTTATGGAACAATTATGAGTTATGTTACTGGCCAAACACGTCATTAATCCAAATGTAATTGTCTTTTTGACTTATGCTTATAATTGATACTATTTTGCTTTGTAATTTATTTTCACCACAATATTTCCTTTCTTTTTCTCATCATGTGCATACCATTTCAAATTCCACCAAAAAAATCAACATCTTAGGACAGTGATCAATTTCTCTCAAGATCACACATATTTATGTGTTTTTTTGTAATTACTTTTATGATTATAAATTAGTAATTTGACTCGAGAAAAACAATTACTCTAACTACTCAAGCGAACACAGCTAAAATAAAAGCATCCACGATCAAACTCCATAATTCATCCTTACTCATAAATTGTCTTTATTCATTAATCAATATGAACTATAAATCCAACAAATTAAAATAGTTAAATTACCTTTTGTCTTTTTATTTTATTTTTCTTTAGAACTCTAGCAAATGACACAACCTCGCTCCTGATCATTGACAATCTCACGAATTTCACGGTTATATCTGTAAAGAGCTTCACGTTCAAGCTCTTCTCTCCTCTGCTTAGCCTCAGCAAGTTTTGCTTCTTTGAAAGCATCATAAGGTACAAATAATGTTAATTTAGCTCTTCTCCATTTCTTTCTGAGCTTGTTAACGATCTCCACAGGATTAACATCTCCAACCAGTGTTAATGTCCCTTCTTTCAAATCCATGCAAGGATAGTGAATCCCTGAAAAATAAAATATTAAAGATTTGGGCTGTAAAACGAGTTTTTCTTTTTTTTTTTTATTTGCAATTCATCATAAGAAAAAACAGAGTGTACAATATATATAATTAAAAGATCAAGTATTTGTTTGTCTTTCTTAAAACTCTTTAAAAAAAAGTTTTTATTTGATGTGATTTACCGGGTAAGTCAGCAACACTCTTCAAGATTTTTCCCTTGGATCTCTGATCATAAACACCCATCCACACAATCATTTTCTGCAGAAATTGGATGCGAATAAAAACCATTGATTAATATATAAATTAAAGGGACTAAAATAAAAGACTGTTTTTTTTTTGTTTGAAAACCATAAAAAAAACTACCATCATTTTTAAGAGAACAGAGCAGAAGATGGAAGAAGAAATGTGAATGTCGATGGTTTTATTCCAAAATGCTAACAAGTCTATGCTTTATGTACCAAAAAATCAAAGCAACATGAATTGATTTGGAAAGAAAAAAAACAAGCGATAGTTCTAAAAAAGGAAAGCTGTGATACAATATCACACGCGCCATACACAAACATAAAAATGGTTTTCTTCAGTGGAGAAAGACGAACGTGAAGTCCACTCGCGATAAGTGCGTCTGGTTTTGTATCTTTCACTTTATATTTTTGGTCTTTCTTTGGTCTTAGTCTAAGTGGTGAAATGCTGATGATGTATCGACTCGATAATTACTAATTGTTTCTAACTTTTTTTAATAGTCATATACCAATCACAAATTTGTTATTTGTGAAAGAGTCCTTCAATGCCTTTTTCTTTTATTGGCATCAATTGGTTTTTAGTTTTACCAACGCTACACGTTTGTTTGCATTTTGCAATATTTTCACCAAAACTGAGGGTGTTGTTCTTACAAACAATGGTCTCTTCATTCTCTTGTACTAATCCCAAGAATTATGTCATATTAAAATATAAATCGAGTTAGAGAAGAGTTTATAACAGTTTTGCATCTTGGCCGAATGATTTCCAAAATTCATAGATTTTAACCAACCACAAGGTTCCGTGGAATCGCAATTTTTCGAGTTCTAATTCTCACCATTTCGCAAAATTTATACGATTTTGCAACATTACCACTTTACCAATCATAATCATCACTTTCTCAACGGTAGAACTAACACTTCACATTGTTACCAAAAAAAAAAAAAAAAAAAAAACTGTAGAACTAACAGGATCTTAAATAAATTTCTATGGCATATGAAACTTGTTTTCAGGCTGTAAAAAGTAAAATTCATTTCGTGTATGTAAAGTTGTAAACCTTTATATGAACCACTTATTAGACTACAAAAACCTTTTTACAGGTCGCAATCAATCCCATCAAGACTCTAACGTGCCGCAAAACAAATCCTTGCGTGGATTATAACAAAGTCTCCACTATGGTTTATACAAATTTAGTTTATGGTTTACAGTCAATTAACGAAATCTAATTAAATTAATATTTTAACGATCCATGAAA